CCCCCAGGACTCTCCACTAGGTCCCCGCAGCGCCCCCTTCTTCTCACCCGGGTCGCGGGTCCCTCAGTGAGCGAGAGCCCCCCAAGCGCCTCCCCGGCCATGGCCAACGGAGTGATCCCGCCGCCCGGGGGCGCCTCCCCCCTCCCCCAGGTGACTGACGCTTCCGGATGGGGGATGAGGAGGGAGAGACCCCAAGGAGGAGAGGGGCGCCCTCTGGCTGACCCTGGGACACCCCTGCTCCATCTTGGGCGGAATGGAGAAAGCGGGGGCGGGGGGAGGGGGGATCTTTTGCTATTTTTCGGATCTGTTGCCCCGCCTCCCCAAGCCTTGGGAGCTGGGGCGCTGGTCCCAGCTTGGGGTCCTGGAAGCGGAGGCCGTAGAAGATGGAGCCTGCTGGTCCCCGCCCCGCTTCCACCCAGGGTTTGGAGTTGGGGGAGTGGGGCGCTCCAGGGTCCAGGGTCCTTAAGTGAGCTGTCTGAGCCCACAGGTCCGGGTGCCCTTGGAGGAGCCCCCTCTGAGTCCAGACGTGGAGGAGGAGGATGATGACTTGGGCAAGACCTTGGCTGTGAGCAGGTTTGGGGATCTCATCAGCAAGCCCCCCGCCTGGGACCCCGAGAAGCCCAGCCGCAGCTACAGCGAGCGGGACTTTGAGTGTGGGTAGCCTGGGGACCCCTAGTGTGACCGCCCTCACCACCATCACCTCATTGCCACCATCACCGTGCTCACACTGGCTTGGCCACCCAGTGCCATCATGTGCTGGACGCTGTGCTGGACGCTGTGCTGGGCCACCATGCCATGTTAAGTCATCCTGCTCACTCACCCATCGCCTGCTCGCCTGTCAGGGAAGCCGGTCCCAGCCGCAGGGGAGATGTAGGGACATGGGCCAGAGGCCTCCCTTAGTGACCCTTGTCTTCCCCAAGGCTCTGCCACACCCCTGGCCCTCCTCTCTCCACCTCCTCATCTCCCATCCTGAGCTCTCGGACTTTTCCTTCTTTGCTGCATCATGTCCTCCCATCCCACCACCCTTCTTTCATGCCCCCCTCTGTTACTCCCGGCCCCCCACTCTACTAGGCCTCACCAATGACAGGACATGGACACAGGTGTTAGGGGGAGTCTGGCTCTGGAGGAAGGACTAAGGTGCCCTTGCTTGAGGCCTTGAGCTAGAATAAGGTGTGTGTCCCTAGGGTGGTGTGGGGTCCCCCTCTGCTGTGGGGGTCCCAACTGGCTCTCCTGCCCCCGCAGTTCACCGGCACACCTCCCATCACACCCACCACCCGCTCTCCGTGCGCCTGCCTCCACCCCACAAGCTGCGGCGAGTGCCCCCCAGCTCTGCCAGGCAAAGCAGGAGGAAGAAGAAGAAGGAGAAAACCTCTGCTGCTCCCTCTGAGGGGACCCCTCCCATCCAGGAGGAGGGGGGAGCCGGGGTGGAGGAGGAAGAGGAAGAGGAGGAGGAAGAGGAAGGAGAATATGAGGCGGAGCCTGTGGAGCCTCCACCCTCAGGGCCCCCACAGAAAGCGAAGGTAGGGGTCTGGCCCGGAGGGAGGGCTGGCTGCTTAGGGCGGAGTGAGAGAGGAGGCCTCGCCAGGCCGGCGGCTGCGTTGGGGCAGGGCCCAGGACGTGTCTGCTTTGTCCACAGTTTTCCATTGGAAGTGACGAGGATGACAGTCCCGGCCTCCCCGGGAGGGCTGTCTTCACCAAGCCCTTGTCCTCGGGGGACACTCGCTCGGACAAGAGCCCCCAGCACTCGGTCAGGTACTAGCCTCCAGCCCAGCTCAGAGGAGATGCCAAGCTGCTTCCTGATCCTGGGGAGTGTGTCCACCTCTGACCCCAGAGAGGAGAGGAGGGGGTCCGAGGAGGCACGGAGGGGTGCCCCTGTCTGTCAGCATGATTGGCAAGGAGGAGAGAGTCAGAGGCTAAGAGGGGGATCGGGAGGAAGGGGGACCAGCATGACAGGGGCAGGAAGGTGGAGGTGAACTTTCTTCTCTGCCCAGGAGGAGCCTGTGTCTAGTGCCCAGGGGGGCACTCCAGGCCCTGCCCCAAGTTGGAGGCCAAGGAACCCCTGATCCCGGTCTATCTCCACTGTGGTTCCCTGCCATCTAAGGCTGCCTGTTGCCTCCTCAGCTCCCCCAGTCCCCGGGCCCGGGCCCCCCGAGTCACAGGAGAGAAGAGCCGGCCCTGGAGCCCATCGGCCAGCTATGACCTGCGGGAGCGGCTATGCCCAGGCAGTGCCCTGGGCAGCGTGGGTGGCCCAGAGCAGCAGGTGCCCACAGACGAGGCGGAGGCCCAGATGTTGGGCTCTGCGGACCTGGACGACATGAAGAGTGAGTGACACCCTGCGGCAGCCCCCATGGCCCACTCCCATGAGCACTCAGCCTGTGAGGGACCTTGGAGAGGCTCTGTGTTCTCCCCCACTCAGTGACGGGGAGCTCACTACCTCGGTTTCCAGAGCTGAGATTTCCTTTCATGACACCTCTGCCGTTCTGACCCGATTCTGTCCTCGGAGTCACCCCTGGAATAGGGCAGCCCTCCTTCCACATGGTGTTTGGAGATATCAATATAGCGCCCTCGTCTTCTCAGTGCGGACTCTTCACCCTCTCACACCAGCCCCCTGGGTCTGATCCACTCTGCCAGGCCCTGCTTCTCCCTGTATCAAGGGCTCATCTCCTCACTCCTGACCCACTACCCTTGGCCTGGCCTGGCTGTGATCTCGGCACATTCTTTCCATCTTATCAGTCCTGGTTTCTGTGCCACCTGTCATCACCCATGGGGCTCTGTGCCCAGGCCAGAGGCACCACTGACCCCGCCTTCCTCCCCTTTAGAACAGTGTGTGGGCGGGGGTGGGGAGGAGGGCTTTGAGCTCAATACGTCATGGAAAGTTGCCAGGACCTGAGGACAGGGACAGGAACAATCCGATGGCAGCAGCAGTGGTGCTGGCGGGATGGGGAGGGTCAGAGGGAGGGCGTGTTTACAGATCCAGGGTTGGGGCTTAAAGCAGCCGGGAGCAGCCCCGGGGACCTGGGAGTTGGAGTTGAGAGGCCTGGACATCTCAGGCTCCGGTTGGACAGAGACCATTCCTGTTCAGACTCCCATCTCTCAGGAGAGCCGGGGCTCTGGGGGGACAGGGCTGAGGCCTCAGCCCGTGTCTGGGGAATGACGAGCCAGCTGGAGCTCACGGAGCCCAATGGGGCACTGAACTCCGGGCCCTGGGATGCCGAGGGCCTGGGCCCCTGGAGGGCTCCAGCTCAAAGCCCTCGAGACTCGCTGGCCTCAGAGGACTTGGAGATGTTTGTGCGGGACCTTGAGGACTGTGACCCGTGGGAGTCTACCAGGGACCAGCTGTGCCCCATGGCAGGGGGACCAGCTGGTGAGTAAACGGGCTGCTGACCTTCCACCAGCTGCTGGCCTGGAAGGGGCAGGCGGGGAGGAAGGGAGAGAACCTCTGCCTGAATCTGCCCGGCCGAGGACCTGTGGGGTTAGACCTGGGCGCTGAGAGAGGCTCAGGGACAGTGCTGGGGGCTTGGGGCCTGGCGGCTCCATGTGGGTGCTGGCACTCCGAGTGAGAGGCGGTGGCCATGGTGGGGCTGCGCACTGAGTAGGGATCTGCCTTGTTACTGTGACTTGGCTAGTGGTCCTCTGTGTGACTTTGGGCTAGTGCTTCCTCCGCTCTGGGCCTCAGTCTTCTATCTGTGAAGTAGCCACATTGACAAGGCGGTCCTGTTGGCATGGCCCCTGGGTGACTGTGGCGCCCACCAGTGGACTGGCTGGGCAGAGCAGGGAGCTAGAGGGGCTGGCCATGATCCTGAGGCCGGGAGCTAGACCCCTGGGACTGCCAAGCCCACCTTCTCCGCAGGCCACCGGCTGGAAGACAACCCTGGCATGCGGCGGCACCTGGTGAAGAAGCCATCCCGAACACAGGGCGGGAGGGGCAGCCCCGGTGGCCTGGCCCCCATCCTGCGCAGGAAGAAGAAGAAGAAGAAGCTAGACCGGAGGCCCCATGAGGTACAGGACCCGGGCGTGGGCCACCAGCTTCCTCTTGCCTCTGCTCCCAGAGCCTCCTGTTCCCTCACTTCCCGCCGTGCCCTGGCGCCAGGACCCATCTGGTGGCCCCCAGGCCCTCATCCTTGGTGCCTGCCCCAGGTGTTTGTGGAGCTGAACGAGCTGATGCTGGACCGCAGCCAGGAGCCCCACTGGCGGGAGACGGCGCGCTGGATCAAGTTTGAGGAGGACGTGGAGGAGGAGACAGAGCGCTGGGGGAAGCCCCACGTGGCCTCGCTCTCCTTCCGCAGCCTCCTGGAGCTCAGGAGGACCATCGCCCATGGTAGGGGCCCTGCAGGCCTGGCCCTGGGCTGCATGCCCTCTTCACAGACTGCAGAGCCTGTGCCAGGCTGCTCACCTCCCGGGGACTCCTCCCTGGAGTCCTGGGCCCAGGCACGGTCTGGCTGCCATCCTGGGGATGTGGGGTCCAACTGCCTGCCCAGCTGTCAGCTCTGAGGGGTAGGGTGCTGCCCCTGGTACCTGGCACTGCACCTTGGCATAGTAGACTCCCCTCCCTGGGTGAAGAGGGGCCATGCCCTCATTCCGTGCTCCATTTTCACGACCGTCTCTCTGGCTGGGCTATGGCTACATGGAGTAGTGTATCTGCCCAGGTATAGGGGTGCTTGGCTCCCCAAGTGTGTTTGCCTGCCCTGGGGGAGCAAGGCCGCTGGGGCGGGTTTTCCTGTCTGATAGGACCGTGTCCCCTCCTCTGACTGTGCCCTCAGGCGCCGCCCTCCTGGACCTGGAGCAGACCACTCTGCCGGGCATCGCGCATCTTGTGGTGGAGACCATGATTGTGTCTGACCAGATCCGGCCAGAGGACAGGGCCAGCGTCCTGCGCACCCTGCTACTAAAGCACAGGTGCCGGGGGAGGGGGTGCCCAGGAGTGGGCCTCCTGGGTCCGCTGTCTCTAGGGGAGCAGACTGTCCTGTGGGGCCTGGGGCCTCTGCTTGAGCACCCAGGTGACGGGGAGCTGGTTCCTGATCCATCCTTGGGCAGCACTACCCGTTAGAAAGTTCTTTCTTACACTGAGGCAGAGGGATAGAGGCCCTGGCCCTCCATTTCTCACTTCCTCATCACCTCAATCGCCAAGATCCTCTCCTCCTAACTGCCTCCCCCGCTTTGCTCTTTCCCCAGCCACCCCAATGATGACAAGGACAGTGGCTTCTTTCCCCGAAACACTTCCAGCTCCAGTGTGAACTCGGTCATGGGGAATCACCACCCCACCCCCAGCCATGGCCCTGATGGGGCAGTGCCCACCATGGCCGATGACCTGGGGGAGCCAGCCCCACTCTGGCCTCACGACCCTGATGCCAAGGAGGTCAGTCGCCTTACTCTGCCCTAGGTTAGGGGACTGAGAGGGTTTCTAGTTTCAAAGGAGGCCACTGAGTGGGTCAGGAAGGTGGGGTGCCTGGCATCGTGCGAGGCATGTGGGGGGATCTTTAGGGGGAAACCACGAGGGACCCCTACTCTGGAGAAACAGGAGGTTTAAATGGGATGATGTGGCAGACCCAGGGGAGCCATTTAAACAAGAGAAGGCTGAGGTGATTGTGGGGGGCTTGGAGAAGGGGGGTCCAGATCCTGGGCTGGTACCCTCCTGATGTGGGACACACCACCCATAGTCCTTCCCCTGGCTGGGGTGGGAGGTCCAGGGGTTGGCGGGCAGAATCCAGGGCTGGAGCAAGGGAAGGGAGGGCCTGCCACGGCCTCCGGTCTGGGTCCCAGCCCTATTCCAGTTCTGCGTCCTCAGAAGCCCCTCCATATGTCTGGGGGAGACAGTCACCGGGGGAAAAGCCTGAAGCTGCTGGAGAAGATCCCCGAAGATGCTGAGGCCACTGTGGTGCTTGTGGGTAAGGAGGGACGGGCGCTGGGGGCAGCAGCAGGGGCAGGGGCATGGGTGCCTCCCCTGTGGTCCACCGTCTTGAGCTCTGTGCCTCTCCCATCCCCACCTGGCCCCACCTGCCCCTCCCAACTCATCCCCAGCCCTTTCTTCCCCAGTCCTCTGCCTGCGTCCCTCCGTTTTTGGCAACCTTGGACAAATGCTAGGCCATATAGCACCTTTGTGAGAATCAGAGGAAAGCACCCCTTAATTTCCATCTGTTGGTAAATGGTGGTAAATGTACAAACATATACATGAATAAGTCTCCTTTAGAATGGGGTTTCTCTCTTCAGTGCACACCTGCCCCATTGCACATGATGTTCCTGAGCCTCCCGCTCCGGGCGGCCTTGCCCGCGCCCCTGTGCCCACCCCGGGCCTTCTCTCCCCAGGCTGTGTGCCTTTCTTGGAGCAGCCGGCAGCAGCCTTTGTGCGGTTGAACGAGGCGGTGCTCTTGGAGTCTGTGCTTGAGGTCCCCGTGCCCGTCCGCTTCCTTTTCGTGATGCTGGGGCCCCGCCACACCAGCACCGACTATCACGAACTGGGGCGCTCCATCGCTACCCTCATGTCGGACAAGGTTGGTCCTCCGCCTGTGCGCTGGGTGCCCCAGGCCTGTCCCCGGGCCCTCCTGGGTCCTGTCCCTCTCACTGCCCCAGGATACCGTGGATGCAGGGGTGCAGGGGCCCTCCTGGGTGGAGCAGCGCTTTGGAGAGTGGAGAGGCTGTTGGCTGAGGGGAGAAAGGGAGCCCTCTGAGCTGGGGCTGTGGGAGGGGAGGTGGGACAGGGAGAAGCAGCCAGACCTCCAGGTTTTGGATGTGACATAGACTGGATGTGAATGGGCTGGCTCTGTTGGTCTTCGCTGTGGCTTCTCCTGGGCTTGGATAGGAGAGTGATGTTCAAAATCCTTCCCAACAGGACACTGTCCAAGCAGAATGGCCTTGGAGGCCTCTGCAGTGCCAGGTGTTACCCCGTAGTGGTTGGATTGTGGGAAAGCCTGGAGGCTCCCAGGGGAATAGAGGGCCCTGGGAAGGGGCAGTGCTGAGGGCTGTGGCTTGCCAGCCAGCAGGGCCTGTGAGTCAGAATTTTGACAACTGGACTGGACCTGCGTATGTGGCGGAACGTCCGTTCTTACCCCTCTCCCCAAAGCCCCATGCCAGGGCCTCCCGGGTCAGATCAGCCCTTGCTTTTCTGCCCCCAGCTGTTTCACGAGGCTGCCTACCAGGCCGACGACCGGCAGGACCTCCTGAGCGCCATCAGCGAGTTCCTGGACGGCAGCATCGTGATCCCCCCGTCGGAGGTGGAGGGCCGCGACCTGCTGCGCTCCGTGGCCGCCTTCCAGCGGGAGCTGCTGAGGAAGCGGCGGGAGCGAGAGCAGAACAAAGTGGAGATGACCACCCGGGGAGGCTACGTGGCTCCTGGGAAAGGTCAGACCCTTTGGGGTCCAGAGTCCCCCATGCTCCCCCGCAACACAGCTAAGTCCATGACCTCAGCTCCGTCCTGACTCCCAGAGTCCTGGCTGCAGCTTCCAGCCCCTGACCCAGGCCTCTGCCCACGGGCGTGGCCGGGAAGGATGGAGGGCCTGCAAGCGGAGGGGTGGTCTGTGTTCCAGCCCCCCTTGTTCCCCAGGGCTGTCGCTGGAATTGGGGGGCTCTGAGGCGACCCCTGAAGATGACCCCCTGCGGCGGACCGGCTCGGTGTTTGGGGGACTTGTCCGGGACGTGAAGCGCCGCTACCCGCACTACCCCAGTGACCTGCGGGACGCTCTGCACTACCAGTGTGTGGCCGCCGTACTCTTCATCTACTTCGCTGCCCTCAGCCCTGCCATCACCTTCGGGGGGCTACTAGGTGAGGCCGAGGGGCGGGGCTCAGTGTCATCTCCAAGGTTCTGGGACAGGGTGTCCCAGTGATCACTTTAGGGGCTTATGGGTGAGAGGAGATAGTTGTCAGTGTGACCATCCTGAGCTGCTGGGTCAGAGGATTTCAGAGTTCACTTTTGGGGGAGCTATGAAGATCACCTTGGGGAGCTGGTGGTGAAGGGGCAGGAGGTAAGGGGTTAGTAAGGGGGCCTTATGTACTGTTCTCGGGGGCTGCTCCATTCTTGCTGGGTCCCCAGGTTAGGCTAAGCTAGATAAGGAAGAGGGGCCAGGGAGGAGCCAGGTAGGGCTGTCCCACTGACCCTTGACCTCCCCAGGGGAGAAGACCGAAGGGCTGATGGGAGTGTCTGAGCTGATCGTGTCCACGGCCGTGCTTGGAATCCTCTTTTCTCTGCTGGGGGCCCAACCGCTGCTTGTGGTTGGCTTCTCAGGGCCACTGCTGGTCTTCGAAGAAGCCTTCTTCAAGGTGACAGCCCTGCTCTGCTGCTCCCCTGGGATCACCTGCTCCTCCCCTGGCCCCTCAGCCCAGGTGACAGGTCCCTGCTGGGTCCCCCTCCTCCCCTTGGAGTTACCCCTCACCCCACCCCACTCCCTACCTCCTGGGGCCCTGATATTCATAGAAGACTGCTGTGGCTAACCACTCCTCCCTCCTGGCCACCAGTTCTGCCAATCCCATGACCTGGAGTACCTCACCGGCCGGGTGTGGGTTGGCCTCTGGCTGGTGGTCTTTGTTCTTGCTCTGGTGGCCGCTGAGGGCAGCTTCCTGGTCCGCTACATCTCGCCTTTCACCCAGGAGATCTTCGCCTTCCTCATTTCTTTCATTTTCATCTATGAGACCTTCTACAAACTCTATAAGGTAGGGGTCCAGAGAGGGTTTGGGGGCAGGGCAGGTGTAGATGTGGGTGGGCAGCATCCTGGCAAGGAGCATGGGAGGCGGTGGCATGGAGATTGGGGCAGAGGGCTCAAAGAGGGGGGCTCTGTTGTGTGTGGGCGTGGGGGGTCAGGGACACTCTGGGGTAGGTCTGAGCTGAAGGGGAAGGAATCAGACCCATAGGGTATTGGTTGGAACTCCAGGATTTACCTGTACAGGTGTGTGAAGTGGTCACTAAACGCTAAGGGCTGGGTGTCCTTGGGTCACCTTTTGTAGAGTGTGTGTGTGTGTGTGTGTGTGTGTGTGTGTGTCTTACGTAGCTGGATGTTGTGTGTTACTGTTGCCTGGTCAGGTAGGTGAGGGAACAGCCTTCTCCCTTGAAGCTGATGAAATCAGGGTCACCTGCCCAGGTGAACACTAAGGCAGCCTTGTAACCCACATAGGTGTTCACGGAGCACCCACTGCTGCCGTTCTACCCCCCTGAGGGGGCAGTGGCGCCTAGGCTGGACCTGAATGGGAGTGCTCTGCCTGCCACTGAGGGGCCACCAGGCCCGAGGAACCAGCCCAACACGGCCCTGCTGTCCCTCATCCTCATGCTTGGGACCTTCCTCATCGCCTTCTTCCTGCGCAAGTTCAGGAACAGCCGCTTCCTGGGGGGCAAGGTACGTGGCTTCCAGAGCGGGGCCCATGGAGCCCCTGGGGGACTCTTAGTTCTGCTGTCCCTGCCAGGCCCCCCTCTAGAGCGGGGCTTCCCCTTTCTCCAGGTCACCTCTGGCTCTAAACCAAGTCTATGTGGGCCCAGCCCATCAGAGCCTCAGAGAAGTCTACTCAGAAGAGAAGTGCCCACCTGGGCTGGCTGGCACTCATGGGGTTGAAAGAGACAGGTTGGGGGATCTTCCTGAACCAGCTCAGACCCAAGAGAGGTCAGGAGCAATAAGCCCTTGTGAGCCTCCAGCCCTCACCTCCACCTCTGCTCCCTTCTCCTAAGGCTCGCCGCATCATCGGGGATTTTGGCATCCCCATCTCCATTCTGGTGATGGTCCTGGTGGATTACTCCATTACAGACACCTACACACAGGCGAGTGAGCCCGACCTCTCTGGCAGCTGGTTCTCACCCCTGGGCCTGAGCGGCAGTTAGATTAGGGCTGGGACCCAGCTTCCTGGTGGAATGGCAGAGACCTGCTGGGGTCACACTGGATGGGTGAGCTGGGGTTCAGAAGCAGCCATGTGGTCCCACTAAGGAGGCCACCCAGTGGTCTGAGGCTGTGTGTGACCCGTAGGCAAGACCTGGAGGAGCAGGGATGGGGCTGGGGCAGAATGACAGGTGGCCCCGAGGTTTCCTGGCAGCTCTGGGGATCTGGGAGAAGGTATGTCATGTCTCTGCCCTATATCGGACCCTTGTAGGGACAGCAACTTTGGAGGATGCAAAATAATTTCCTTCAAACCTGTTCACACCCCAATTCCCTGGAGCCCCGGTACTGGGGACACACGGCTTTGCGGGAGCAGCTCCTGCGTGGGCTCCTAGCGTGGGGGGTACTGCCCCTGAACCCCGCCTTTCTTCTGGCCTCGCAGAAGCTGACAGTGCCCACGGGGCTCTCGGTGACCTCCCCCCATAAGCGCACATGGTTCATCCCGCCTCTGGGCAGTGCCCGTCCTTTCCCGCCCTGGATGATGGTGGCAGCTGCTGTCCCCGCCCTGCTGGTCCTCATCCTGATCTTCATGGAGACACAGATCACTGCGTAAGAGGGCGGGGACCCTGGGCGGATGAGGGTGCATGGTGGGATTGGCAGCAAGGGGACAGACAGTTTTTTGCCTATGGTGCTTGGCCGTGCCATCTGTCTGGTGCCACCGGCATTTGCAGGGTGGCACTTGACAGTTCTCAGAACACTCTGGCAGTATGTTCTCTCACCCGGGGACGCTCACATGATCTCATTTTGGTTAAGTCACAATAACGTGGTGAGATCTGGCATCTGGCTTTATGGTATTTTAAACATCCACAGTGTAAGGAATTTAGCTCAGACTTGCTTAAATGTGAGAACTTTAATTTGGGAACTTGAAAGAGGAAGCTGGCAGATCCTGGGAGAGCTCTTCTCTGCCCCCACCCCGCTCCCCACCCGGCTGTGTGTGCCTGGCCCGGCTGCTGGCCCACCCACTCCCCCTTCGTTCTCTGTAGGCTCATTGTCAGCCAGAAGGCACGGAGGCTGCTCAAAGGCTCCGGCTTCCACCTGGACCTGCTTCTGATCGGCTCCCTGGGGGGACTGTGTGGGTTGTTTGGGCTGCCCTGGCTGACGGCTGCCACCGTCCGCTCAGTCACCCATGTCAATGCACTGACTGTCATGCGCACCGCCATTGCGCCTGGAGACAAGCCCCAGATCCAGGAGGTGCGGGAGCAGCGGGTCACTGGCGTGCTCATCTCCAGCCTCGTGGGTGAGAGCGCCCACCTTGCAAGGCCTGGCCCCGCTCCCCAGACTTGCCTTCTTGGACCCCAAGGCCTTAAATAAGCTCTCTCATCCGGGCTTGGGGCCAGGTCCCTTCTGACTCTCCAAATGTGGCCTGTCTAGCCCCTGCCCTGCCTGCCAGCCCTGCTTCCTGACCCCCATGAGCCCTTTTTCCTCGTGCCCTTTCCTGGTTCTCTTTCCTGCTCCATCTCCTCTTGTGCGTGGTGATGAGGCCCAGCCGGTCAGTTAGATGGTCCGTGCCCCTCCCCACCAGGTCTGTCTGTCCTCACAGCGCTGTCTGAGGGGTCAGGTCGGTCTGTGACTCCTCCCCCAGGCCTGTCCATCGTCATGGGGGCTGTGCTGCGCCAGATCCCGTTGGCCGTGCTCTTTGGGATTTTCCTGTACATGGGGGTCACGTCGCTGTCTGGCATCCAGCTGTCCCAGCGTCTGTTGCTCATCTTCATGCCAGCAAAACACCATCCCGAGCAGCCCTATGTAACCAAGGTATGGCCAGGAAGCATGGAGGCGGGGAGCTGGGTGATGGGAAGGGCGTCCAGGGGATCCCTGGGCCGGACATGGGCAGGATAGGATGACTATGAAGATATATTGGGACCTGGGGAGCCAGCTCCCGAGATGTGGGTGGGAGTGTGGTGAGACCTGACGCCTGTTCCCAGGTGAAGACGTGGCGGATGCACCTGTTCACCTGCATCCAGCTGGGCTGCATCGCCCTGCTCTGGGTGGTCAAGTCCACGGCGGCCTCGCTCGCCTTTCCCTTCCTGCTGCTGCTCACGGTGCCTCTGAGGCGTTGCCTTCTGCCCCGGATTTTCCAGGACAGAGAGCTGCAGGCGGTAAGGGACTGTGCTTGGGGCAGGGTCAGTGTGGATGGGGCCTGGGTTCCAATCTCTGCTGCACCACCTGACAGCTGTGTGACTGACACAGGTAACCTAACCTGAACTCTCACTTTCATCTATATAAGGGCTAATAGAAGATTCTACCTTATACAATTGCTGTGAGGCTTAAGCACTAATCCAGGTGAAGTACTGAGTACGATGGTTTGGTGTGAAGTAAGCGTAAGGCTGCTGCAGACAGCTGTGCAGGCTGTACATTGAACAGAAGCGCATAGCTGAGGGGCGGGTGGGGGTGGGACGCTGCTGAAATCCATCTGAGCCCTATTTTTGTCATCTGGAGGAAGGGGCATCTTTTTGCAAATCATCCACCCAAATACGGTGGTCTACAGAAGTATACCGCAGCTGGGAGCGGCCCCCAGAACGTGCTTCACCTCTGGTAGCTGCTCTCATTGGTATTGTTATTAGGAGCTGTCACTGGAGGGGGCGGTGACCTGAAGGTTTAAGCTGATGGGAAGGGCTTCAATCTGGGGCCACAGTCCCTGCAAACTGTGAGGCTTGGAAAGGCCTGGGAGCAGCGAGGGCTGCTGGCCAAGGAGGAGCTGGGGGACTGGGGGCACCCCTTGGCTTCCTTGCCTCTTCTGACCTTCCGCTCCTCCTGCAGCTGGACTCTGAAGATGCTGAACCAAACTTCGACGAGGATGGCCAGGATGAGTACAACGAGCTGCATATGCCCGTGTGATTCTCCGACACGGTGACCCTGAGAGACCCCGACATCTCAGTGACTGATACCTGGGCCCCTGTCAGAGCCCAGCCCCAAGGCGGGCGGGGGTTCCTCATGACCCAAAGACGTGCCTGGAACCACTACTGATGCCACGGCCAGAGGGGCCCTGACTGCCCGAGGCTCTGACCTTATCTCACCAGGCCCCTTCACAGACCGGCACAGGCTTTGAGCTCATTATAACCACACCCCTCGTCTTGTGTCTGCTTCACTTTCTTGGTTCCATGTCTGGTTTCTCAGGTCACAGTTATCCATCTGGAATTGGAAGAATTGGGAGAATTCTATATTCAGGGTCATCAAAACCTGAGGAGAGGTTTGAGGCAAGGACAGAATTCTTGGGTGAAGGGGAGAGAATCAAGACCACAGAAGGTCAGAGCGGGGCTTTAGCATCACCCCTTGAGGCCCCTCAAGTGCAGCTGAGGAGGAGCCTGGAGGCTCAAGGTCTGGCTCAAGGTCACATGCCTTTAATCCTGCCCCTGTTTGGGAGGGGTGAGTGAGGGAGGGGAGAAGCGATGGTTGCTTTGCTTCAGCCGCTAGGGAAATCAGAGCTTGCCCAAGCGCTGTGGAGCTACAGAAGGGAATGCAAAAACTTTTATCTTCTTTTCTTGATTCCTGGCATTCAGAGGAGCAGGGACAGTAGCCCAGTCCCCCAGACGCCAGGGTGGTGCTGGATTTGGGGTCCCTGGACCATTTTAGATTCTCTCGGCTTAAAAGAGAGGCGGTTCTGGGATTCCTGAGGCCACTCCTTGTGCCACAGTCTGTTAAACCAGAAATAACCTGGGGGCCTTAGGAGGGTTCGAACTGGATGCCCTTTACGTCACAGTTGCTTGGCAACCGGCTGCGTGTCGGAGCTAGTTGTCTCTGTGTGGCCCTCTGGTGGCCGCTCTCTCATACTGCAGGCTCTGCCCCATCTGGTAGGAGATGCCCAGCCGCCTGGAGGACCCCCTGTGGTCAAAGAACCCATTCAAGCACATTCTTCTGAGACGGGAGGCAGAGAGGTCCCCTAAGGTTCCCCAGCCCTAGGAGGCTGTGAGCATCCAGAGCCAGGGTCCCTCATCCCTATGAGCCGCTTCCGCTGGAGCCAGCCCTGCTTCTTCCTTATCCTTTTACCAGTTTCTTCCCAGGTATTCAGGCAAAAAGCGAGAGCCGGGCAGCTGGCCAGGAGAGAAGGGACAGACTACTGTGAGGCTGTTTGTTGTGTTCCTGAGGAAGACTGCCCCGTTCCAGCTGTCTGGGATTGTCACCCAGGTTTAAGCATTTCATTCCAGTCCCTTTGGCTCCCTTGGTCTCTGGCGCCACGATGTCTCCTAACGGCATCAGGCCTCTGACGAACTCCTGGCCTGAGGGCCTTTTCTCTGAGGTTGGCCAAGGCCAGGTGGAATTTCAGAGGAGCTTTGCTAGCAAAGGCAAACGCAAAAACCTCGAACATAGATGTGTACGGAGCAGATTCCAAACACAGATAACCAGGGCCGGGCAGAGAAGCACGGCTGAGAGGTTTGGCATGCAGGACTCCATTCCTTTCCTGAGCCCGACATCGGGCTGCCTGGCTCCCCTGTGGGCCTCAGTGGGGGCGGGCTGGCCCGTCTGCTATAGGCGATACCAAGACCCTCACAGGAAGGAACCACTTCTTCCCCAGCCTCTGAGAGAAAAAGGGCATCCTGAGCCGGGAAGGCTTGGCTCTTCATTGGACCCTGGTGGTGTCAGTCATCTCTGCTTGGCAAATAGCTGAGAACTGTGGATGTTCCTCAACTGGAAAATGAGAAATAATGTGGAAGTTTTTGAAATAGAATGAACTTTGGTTCTAGGTGGTGTGTCAGGGTGGCCTGTAGTATAACGAGGCCCTGAGGCCTCAGAAAAAGAGATGAAAAAATTTCAGTGAAGGGTAGAACCAGACATACCCTCTGGCCAGTGAACATGCCACCCAATGAGAAGTACATGAATAAGACCTAAGAGCCTGGAGCCTTGAAGACCATGCCATTTCCACCCTGAGGGAAAGCAGCTGCAGTTTGGTTATGTACCTGAGGCCAGAGTTGGCCCAAAAACATACTGAACTGGGCCTGTTCAGGGGTGATGCTTCCGCACTCGGGGTAGGGGCCTATAGAGGCCCTGAAAGGACTTAGGAAGTCGTAGCAACCCAGAAGCTTACTAGGTAGGGACAGGTACCTTGAGGGTTGGGAGAGGAGAGCGTCAGTGGGGCCAGATTGGATATCAAAGAGAGAAAGACAAGAGATAAAGGGCCTGTGGCAAACCCCTAGCTAGGCAACCTGGGTGGGGGTAAGGAGGCTGGGCAATTCAAAAATCTTTTCATCTGGGGACGTTAGGGGTTTGTCCTAAAGCCATTGTAGCCCCTAACTTTCTCTTTACTTACCTTCCAACCTTATCCTCCTGGATAAGCTTGGTGAAGGCCTACTTCTTCCAGATGTGGAGGGCAATCAACAGAGAGAAGTCCCATTTGGTCCTCGTGGACTAAGGGGTGGGTTAGAGGCCATGGTATTTTTGAGTGACAGGTCCCACACCATCTCCTTTAGACTGGAAGCAACTTGACAAGTGGGCATGTGCAAGGTGACCGAGCACCCTTCCAACAAGGAGGATGGCAATCCCATTGCTATCTTGCGGCACTCTGAGTGGGGTTAAGGCCACATCTTGGACAGCTGCTGATAAAGTTTTTATTATTCTTGCACAGGTTCAAGCCCCCTTTATGACCAAAGAAGTGCTAACTCATTCTTCTACTTTGAGCAAAGAGGGCAGCTGGCATTTCCTCATTCCACGCTGAGGAGTCAGCTCACTCAACGTCTGATGCCCTCACGAAAGCTCCTGGCTGTCAAGAGCTCAAACGCAGTCTGCCTGGATTGCCCTGGGCCCCTCCTTTAGGGCACAGAACCTGGCAATAATGTGTCCCCTTTGGCAGCCTGTGTGACAGCTCTTCTTGTATTGTATCAGGTGACTCCAATAATGACCATGCCTGTTGACACCTAGAGCTCTCAGAGGGAATTCTGAGCAGCATTAGAAGGGCAAAACAGAACTCAAGGGCACTTGCACACAACGCTGCCCATACAGCTGGTGCTTAAGCCATTCTGAGAATGACAATAAGACAAGTTCTGGGCAAGCACAGAATGGGATTGAATCCAATGTGGCAAGTAGGAGACCCAAAGTGAGGAGTTTGGTTTCCAGATAAATACATTATATAATTGAGAGGGAACCTGACTGCTCGCATGACTCACCACCGTACAAAGCGCAAACTCTAATATTTACAGGGTTTCTGTTCCAGAAGGAAGATTTAATATTTGAGACCTCTGCTGGGATTATTTTTACTTTAGTTGGAACTCTTTCTTTTTATTGAACAATTCTATATCAAATGCTGAGTAAACACACAGCTGTTGGGATGTTCCCTGGGTGGTGGGTGAGTCCCACTTGGCTCTGGGAGCCTGAAGGAGGAGCAGGGAGCTCCTGGGACAGGGCTTCCAGGACCATGGGAGGTGAAAGGCAGAGAGGAGGTGAGGTAGGGATGGGGAGCAGCTGGGATGGCGGGGAGCAGCTGGGATGATTTTTTAAAAATGAAGCCAAGGGTGACACCAGTAGAACTTATAAAGAATTCTAGAAATGTTTGATGAGCATGTTTGGTAGTTTCAATTACAGCTGTCACTTCTCCCTGTGTTAGTAACAATACCCTCAAAACCCAAAGAGGCACTGTGCGCTTCTTTCTGAGCCAGCTGGAGCGAGAAGTGTTGGTGACCGTGCATACGAGGCTGATGAGTAGACAGTGGCAGGTGGGAAAGACAAAGTGCATTAGAGGCCCCAGGAGCCCAGGAAACAAGATGGGGATAGATGGTGAGCCTGAGAGGTGGCACTGGGACTAGTGCCAGCAGGAAGCCTTGTATTCCATCTTAGCTGTCCATTCCTAGTCCATCAGTGGTTCTTCACAATGCTAATGATGGCCCTAGCTGGTTTACTCAGTGGTTAGATCCCTGGCCCCAGGTCAGGGTTCCTGTGGAAGACAACCAATTGATATGTATCTCACATCCATGTTTCTCTCTCTCCCCTCCTCCCTTCCATCCCCTCTAAAAGTCAATGAAAAAATATCCTCGGGTGAGGATTTTTTAAAAATGCTAATGATGGGGACCAGAGCATCATCTTTATTCTGGCTTTTGGAGGGCCCATTGTGTTCAGGGCTTTTTTGTAAAAGGCCTCCCTTCTTCCCTATTTTCTCTCCTCCAGCTCTGCTTTCTGGGATCCAGATCTACCCCACATTCCCACGATAGCTGAAAGCTATTTCTTTTTTATTTTTATTATTATTTTTAAAATCTTTATTGTTGAGATTATTACAGATGTCCCTCTTTTTCTCCCAATTGCTCCCCTCCACCTGGTTCCCGCCCTGCCCCAGGACTTCCCCACCCTATTGTCTGTGTCCATAGGTGATGCATATATGCATCTAAGATCTTTGTTTAATCTCTTCCAACCCCCAACCCCCTTCACTCTGAGAATTGTCAGTCTGTTCCATTAATCTTTATTGTTGAGATTATTACAGATGTCCCTCTTTTTCTCCCAATTGCTCCCCTCCACCTGGTTCCCGCCCTGCCCCAGGACTTCCCCACCCTATTGTCTGTGTCCATAGGTGATGCATATATGCATCTAAGATCTTTGTTTAATCTCTTCCAACCCCCAACCCCCTTCACTCTGAGAATTGTCAGTCTGTTCCATTTCCATGTCTCTGATTCTATTTTATACTCTTTATTCTGTCCATTAGATTTCTTATTTGTTTATTTTGATTTTCAGATTCAATTGTTGATAGGTATGTATTTGTTACCATTTTGATGTTCATATTTTTAATCTTTTTCTTCTTCTTTTCTTAAAGAAT